CCCACAGGGCACAGCAGACCTCTGCTGCCTCCCCGCTGCTCCCCTCAGCAGTGTATTTCAGTGGATCCGCCTATTCTGCTCCCCACTCTGTCTCTGCTGATCCTCTCACCTGCACCTCTGCCCTGTGCCCCAGTTCTTGTATGCATAAATAAACAGATCTTTAAAAAAATAAACTGAGAAAATTTGATATTTTATTTCATTTACGGATGTAGATTCTGATAATTACCTTAGATGCTCTGTTGGACTATCATATAAACTTGCTTTTTTATGTATGATCAGTTTTTACTTGCTACAATTTAGCAACTGATAAATAAGCGTAGTACATTCTAAAAGTATGAATAAAACATAGAAGTGGAACTCTAAAAGTATGAATAAAACATAGAGGTGGAGCTCCAGAGAAAATTTCTGCTACTAACTCCTTGCGGCTGCATGTGGTGGCGAGGAATGGCCCGGACAGCTGCTGCCTCCACATCTTTGCGCCTCTGTGGATTCTGTTATTGCTGCTTGCAATGGTTGTTACTCATTGTTCTTTTTGCAGTTCATCCTGTCACCTTCTTTCTTACCACTTGACTTTTGCACACGCTACTCCCTCTGGCTATAATGTCTTTCTCTTTCTTCAAATTTATATTTAAGGGTCACCTTTTCTGGGAGGCACTCCAGAGCTCCCTCAACACTGGATTAGGTGTATTTCCTCTCTGCTCCCTTCTCTAATGCTTAACATCCTTTACTGCATTTGTCCATTCACTGCCTTTCCTGCTAAATTATGAGCCACTTGAGATCAGGGATTCATTAATTAATTATATATTGATCAATTAATTCTATATTAGTAGCTATAGTAATATTTTTATATATCTATATTAATATATAATATAAATATATAATTCATTAATTCAACATATTTATCACCAACTCTTTACTCTGTGGGTCAGAATTAAAGCAGCAATGAAAACAATTGAGATGATTCCAACTTCTCACCCTGTAGCATGATGCCCATCAAAAGTAATACATGTGAACATTCATCCATTCAACAATACCTACTATGGGCCACACACTGCTGATTCAATAACTAAATTTCCTTCACTCACGGGGTTTGAAGAATTATACGTGTTTTAACCCATTTAATTCTCATAACAACCTTATGAGGCACATTTATGAATTATACTGGTTTCACAAGTGAGAAAGCAAGGTCCAAACAGATTAAGTAACTTTCCAAGGTCACATAGTTGTCTAGTTGCAGATCTGGAATTTGGCTCAAGACCACTGACTCCGGAGCTTAAACTCCTAAGCACTACGCCCCGGAGCCCTGCCACCTACAACTGCTTCCAAAGGTTTTTGCTCCAACTATTTGATATCCTTGCATAGCCCATGTGGGCATATGCGCCCTTGCCTTAGAGTATCCTGTTCACACTTCCTAAAGTACCTCTCTAATCCGTGTCCTTTTGACCCCAGCCTAGAAATCACTCACTCCAGAAAGTACCTTTCTAACCACTTCTCCCCAAAAGACCAGTTTAGGTATCTGTCCCCTTCTTTGTCTCCCTTTATTATAATTGTCTGTCTCCCATTCTAGACAGTGATGTCTTTGAGGGCAGCTGTAAGATTTACTATATTTGTCTTCAGTGCTGTATCCCAGGGCCTGACACACCGGAAGCCCAATTAATGCTTAGTGAAGGAAGAAATAACTGAATCTTAGAAATCCACACAAACGTTTTTATTTGTGTTTTAAGGTGTTGTATGTCTATTTTCAGTCTCACGATTTTTGATAGGATATTGGTGCAGTACAATTAATTATATACAGAAATTGATATCATGACATTTACAAAATTCACTATGTGATACCTGACAGCTCATTTCACAAACTTGTTAGATTTGGTACATTTCAGGAAGTGTGCTTTCTTAGCCCTTTAGTTAACGAACTGCTTCCCAGGCGCCTCTTTTGACGTATTCATTGAGCTGTCCAAGACCACACAGCTAGTTAGTGACAATGTTGGGCCTAGAAGTGAACACAAGACCCCAACTCCCAACCAAGCGCCGCTTTTCTTTGTATAGACCCTGGAGATGTGAATTGCGTTCCCATCAAAATTGGACATACTGTCTCAGCACATGTGAGCCCATCTAGTTCCAAAAGTCAGTGGTTTCCAAAAAATGAATAAGCAACCTTGAAGGACACCAGAAAAAAATCACTCTGCTCTCCAAATATATTCCTTACTCTTTTAGAAGTCTTATAATGCGTGAAGCACATCCTTCCACACTTCATAGCGACTGGTTGTTCAGGTCACTTGTGATACGACAGGTAAGCCAAAATGAAATTTGGCTTAGAAGGAAGAATATATCTAGCACTATAGTGAATGCTGAGGATAAGGCAGGTGAAAGTGGGGTAGGAGCACAAATGTAGAAATAAATTAGGGTGTCCGAACAATCACACAACTTTAGAGCAGACATGAGCCTCAATAGTCAGGGAAGAGTTCACAGAGTAATTACGAGCTGAAGGTAGAAGATGGAGAAATATGATTTATGCGAAGGCCACATATGGAAAGCTGGATGAGAGTGAAACATTCAACCTGTCCTATGTTACGAGATACTGGAGGCGTAGTGGCATGAATGGAGTTGGAGAGTAACTCAATTGACAGGCAGAGTAAGTTGGACGCAATCCTCTAGGAATTTGGACTAATTTTGGAACAGACCAATAAAGTGTGAAAATATGGCACATTTAAGGACAATATATTTGGTGTGTATCTGTTAAAATTTAGAGTTGGACTTTACAAAAGAGGAACTTTGAATTTAAATCATCTGTTGCCTTTGCAGTAGATTACATTAGGGTGAGAACATTTTCTGAATATTCATATCGACTGTTCACTGAGCAGTTACTATGTCCTAGAGATATGCCAGACTGTGTAAAAGCAGGACATGATTCAATGTACAGGAAATGTCATTACCTCTGTTTCAATGAAGACAAAGAGACAGATTCAGGGAGGTAAACTGAGTTGCTCATAAATTGAGGAAGGAAAATCTGAGCCGTGAACTGTCTGATCTGAATCCAAGTTGGTACAGCAGATGGCACATAACTGGTGTGCAGGAAATACTTGTTGAATGAATGAATTAATGAATGAATGTATGAGTAAATCTAACTTCTGCAGAGGAAAGTCTAGATTTGCTTTAATGATTCTCATGGTCCTGATAAGCTCCAGTCAATGTTCAGTAAGGAAGAGGTTTGAGCCATGGAAAGAGAAGAGTTGAGATAGAAAAATTGCTTGCCTCTGGAAATTGTGATTAGGAAGAGATCTGAATTTGGTCAGAAATAAAATGTAAATGTCTATCCACACATGTACAGACATCTGTATATGTTTGTGTGTGTGCGTGCATGTACAGACAGATCCACAGTGTGGAGTACCTTTGGCACATGCATGTGCCCACGGGCAGACGCACACAAGCATATGTGCTTTTAATTTTATGCTTTCTTTTGTTTTCTTAACCCTGTGAACAGGGTGCAAATAATAGAATGTCAGAGCTGGAAAGGACCTTAGCAATTACCTAATCAGATCCCCTCATGTCAGTGTAGGGGGAAAGTAAATTGCAAAGGTCACACAAGGAGTTAGAGTAAGATTAGGAATCTCAGTTTCCTGCTTCACAGGTTTGTTTTAGTCTGAACTGTCACTATTTACCATCTACATTTTATAGATGGGGTAACTAAAGCATGCGAAGAATGTTGATGGTCAAGCTCCTATTTGTCCATTGAAGCAGGACTTGAAATGAGATCTCTTTTATTTAAAATATGAGGCTTATTTTCCTCCCAGTGCTTGTGGCTGGCCCCCTTCCTTCCTGTTGAGTTAAAGTGCAGACTGAGGATAATTTACAGAAAGCTTTGTACTTTTCCGTAAGAGAAAATGTCCAAGGTTGGTTTCTTTTGGGAAGGCTGACCGTCGGGGGAGGCTCCGCGAAGGCAGGGCTGTCTTCCCTTCTTTATTGCACAGCACCTGGCACAAAGGAAGGAAGTGGATGAATATTCGTGGCGTGTGAGACGTCGTAAAGGCGGAGAGGGAAAGCAGGTTGGGTCGTGATGGATGGATGGTCATTATTAGCGCTGAGAAAGGGGGAATGGACGTGGAGCAGAGGTGGGAGAAGCCCTTGAACAAAGAAGCAGCCCTGTGTCTCTGGCTGACGGAAGCCGGGCGGCTCGGTGGGGCCGTGATTGGCAGAGGTATTTAAATAAGGCCTCCTTAAAATTGTTGCTCTGCTCCCCGCCCCCACCCCTTGAAATTCTGTTTCAGTCATTACCCAGGGACCGGATGCAGAGATTCCTACGGGGAGTTCTAATGGGTCGATTCAATTTCAGCGGGATGACGCCACTTAGGCAAGCATTAGGGCTGCAGCTCCGGGAAGCCAGCGACACGGCGAGGGAGAGAAAGAAATGATAACAGGGAGCCATAAATCCTCTCCCTCCCAGCCTCCTCCAGAGCCCATTCACAAGCCCTCCGGAGCGCGTCTACATTCACAAAACCGCCGGCGCGCACTGCGGCCTGCCCCGCTCCCCGCTCCCCGCCCCCCGCCCGGCCGCGGCGGCACCGGCGCCCGAGCCACATAAATAATCGCACGCCCGGCGGAGACACCCCGAGCCTTCGAGCGGCTCCCGCCGCCCCGGCTCATCTGTCAGATCCGCGAGGACAGAGGCGGGGGCGGAGACGGAGGCGACGGCGGAGGAGGGGGAGGAGGGAAAGGAGGAGAAAGGGGAGGCGGGGGAGGGGCGCAGGAGGGGGAAGGAGAACGCAGGGGGAGCGAGGAGGAGGAGAAGGGGAGGAGAAAGAGGCGGGGGAGGGGGAGGAGGGGAGGAGGAGAAGGAGGAGAAAGAAGAGGCGGAGGAGGAGAAAGAGGAGGAGGCGATGAACAACTTACCCCGCTGAGCCCGCCCGGGGTACGTGCATCCAGACCCCGACCTGCCGGTGCCATCTCCAGCGAGTGTCCGCGGCGGCGGCCCTGGCCCTCCCCCCCCCCCCCTTTCCGTTTTCTCTGCGGTGTCAGGGAGAGCGAGACAGAGTATTCCTGTTTCTGGCCCCGCCGCCAGCGAAGGAGTTTTCATTCAGACTTTCCGAAGAGAGGTGGCGAGGGCAGGGGCTCGACAGAAGAACAGGCTCTTTGAGCCGATGGGGCCTCGGCTCCGCCGCCTTCCCGGCAGGGACGGACCCTCCCCGCAAGGTAAGCCCGAGAGCGGCTCTCCAGGCGCGGCCCCCGGAGCGATGCACAGATTGCCATTCATTGCAGCACCCTGTGCTCTGTGTGTGTGTGAGTGTGCACGAGCGCGCACACCCGCGCCTGTGCACGCGCACAGGCGCCAGCGCGTGGGTAAAATGAAATGAAAAGCGTTTAGCTGAAATGTAAACGATTCGGTTCCTGCAGAAACTGCCCGTGTGTCGGGAACTGGCAAAGCGGAACGTAACTTCCACGCGCGCCCTTCACGGCCGCGAGTCCGCGGACTTGCTCCCCGCGACCCTCCCGAGCGCTCGGAGCCCACGCCCGCGAGCGCAGCCCAGCCGGAGGGAGGCCGCGCGAGGCCCAGGAAGCCCGAGCAGAGCCGCCGCCGGAGCCCAGGCCAGTCTGGCTGCCCAGCGGCGTCCTGTCAGCGTGGGGCTGGGCTGCGATTGGCTCCTAGGTCCGGGCTGTGCATCGTTCAGATTTCATCACATCACCTTGCCCTGGGTAGAAATGGCGCAAGCTGACACGGCGTAACCCCCTACTTACATTGAGTCAGAGCATGATTTAGAAATCTCTGGATCCGTGCCTGCGTGTGTGTGCACATGTGTGTGTGGCATATGGAGATTTGCTTGAAAGTGAGAGCCGTGAGAGCAACTTCAGTTAGCCAATAGGCATTTGCTGGGGCTGGGGCAGTGGCTCACACCCCTTCCATGCTTGCAACTCACCCGTCCTCACTCACGCGTGCATACTGCAAACCTCTCTAGGCGACCCCAGAACAGACCTTGGACTCTTAAGCTGAGAATCTATTTTGAAATTGAAACCCTTGTTGCTTTTCTGCGTCTTTTCACACCTGACACTAACATACCGCCTGTCACAACCACTGGAGTCCCTGCTTCTAGTCAGGCAGCCTCACACGCCTGCAGGCGACGCCAGTGCCCTCCACACTGCCAGTTGTCCGTCCTGCACCTACATTTTTCAGTAAGCATTCCTAAGACTTCACTGCAACAGCCTGGGCATTGCCCTATGCTCCACACTTGGGTCTGGAGAGCCAGCCAAGGAAGCTTGGAGGGCTCTGCCAGTCCAGCCCACGACTGGGGCAGGACAGAAGGTAAACTAAGAGACTCGCTCTTCACGAAACCCTCCCGAGACACAGAAATGCAACGGGCAGACCCAACCTACCAAATGTAGAGCATCTGACTGAGGGACTTTCCAACTCCTCTTCTCACACCCCTTCTTTTTGCAGATGAAGAACCCGAGGCCCGACACAGAAGTTACTTACTCACAATCACACAGCAAAGTGCAGCGAGAGTCAGGACTCACACTTAAGTACCTTGTCTCTTCTAAAAGGACTTGTGGTTCAAAGAAAGATTCCGACTTCTTAAATGAACCGCTAGCTATTTCCCCCAGCATAGAAGGGTGTGTGTTCATCTGACATCACAAATTCCCTGCATCGCCATCGTGAAAGCTCTTAGAGCGTTAATAATGCAAGGTCTGAAAACTGCAAGACTCCCTGGTTTGAAATACACTGCGCTGAGTCTTAATGAATTGGACTGGGGTAGCAAAGTGACAAGTTAAGAGTTAAATGTGGCGAGAACCTGGCAGCTCCAGCAAGATGTATGCGGTAGGAGGGAGGCCCAGGCCGTGGCTGAGAGGTTAGTAATGTAAACTATATACAACTTGGTATTTGTAAGGGGGAGTGCTTTGATAGAGATGCAAATGCTTTCGCACAGAGAGGGATTTTTAGAGAGCAGACTTTGGAACAGTAGAACTAAGAAAACATATAAAGCCTTAGCAGAAATTCCCCCTGTGTTTGCTTTCAGTTATTCTGAGAACGAGTGTATAGAACAGCAGAGCACAGAAAAAAAGCCACACACCCCAGAGCCATTACACAGTAGGGTACAAAACAGCGCTGAACCCATGGGGGTGGGAGAAAATGGGCACCAGGCGCCCCCTCTCTCCCCCCTCCTTGAAATGGAGATTGAGTCATATTGTGTCAGAACATATTTATCCCAGAGATCAGAACTGTAATAAGGTGGGAGCAGAAAAGGGCTTTAGACAGGAAAGTTTTCAACTCTAGTCTCTATAAGGCAGATTTTAGTTTCCAGGGAGAAAATCCGTTTTTCTTTCATTAACAGACACGAACATTTTTTTTGAATGGATTTCACTTTCTGGCCCCTAAACTGGCATAAGAGCAGAAATTTCTGTCTGGGTTTGAACACAGCAAATCTCATCAGGGCTACAGAAAAACTGTTAGGAGAGCTATGAGCACCTGGCCGGGCTGGCTCACAGGGCATCATTCACCGCAGAGGCTACGTGACAGAAATCACCAGATCCTGTCACTGCGCGGCCAGGACTGGTAGTTGCCTAGGCTCCTGTCCGGCACTATGTGATACGTGTGCTCTCGCTTTCATTTCATCGATGGTGGAATGGACCAGCAGGGCCGTTTCTCAGCTGTTGCTGCTACAATGAATGGCCCTTTTCTGACTCATAAACACGCGGGAGTAGTTCAGCGTCTAGTGCAGCCGCAGCAGTCTCTTGCCTGTCCGCGTTGTCCACTTTTCCCCCTTCTTACCTTTCCCTATAGTATCTATTTCACTTCATCCTGTTAGCCAGATCGGATTCAGCATTCAGCAAGTCCAGAATGGCAAACAATTTATTGTCATTCAATCCTATTTTATCCTAGTCAACACTGATTTTACCCGGGTCCTACTGCCCACCATATTGCAGCTCCTCATGTCTGTTCTCATAAAAGATCTTACAGGACAGGAAGATCCCGTTGCCTGTAAGCAAGACAATAGTACTTGTCATCCCAGACAGAGGCCTGATTCCTTTAATCATCCGAGCAAGCGTGGTAACTTCTCAGTCTTAGAGCGGTCTAATCAATATCCAAATTCACCTTCTCAACCTAAACACCACACACACACACACACACACACAGAGAGAGAGAGAGAGAGAAAAACATGCACACATACATGCACAGCACACGCCTGCACACACATACGCACACAGAGAGACACCATACACATGCACGCGTACACATGTGCACACATACGTACACATGTGCGCGCGTTCACAGACTCTTCTGCTCCCAAGAGTGGTCTCCTTTGAAGACGGCTCTGAGTTGGTGGTTCTGTTATGACCTAGGTGCCTCCAAGCTTTCACCCTGCTGTGTGGCCCCGGGACACAGCTGGCACCCGTGGAATCCCAGGATTCCTCCAGTAACTTCCAGAGCTTGTAGCCTTCTTTTGAGTCACTGATTCTTGGAATTTCCAACATGTTTTGAATACAGTTTCCTCTGGGAAGTCAGTGAGTCTAAAGTGCATCCAGCACGCATGTTCTCGTCCTGACAGTGTGAAGGACGTAAAGAGCCACGCTCTTCACGTGGCCTGTGGAGGGAGGCATCCTCCCAAGCCCCACGCCCACTCGCGCTGCGAGTCACCTGAGCTGTGGACATGTCCTTATCTATGTGGGTGTTCCACGGAAACTACCTGTTCCTTTCCAAGGCTGAGACAATGAACCTTACGTAAGATCCAGCAAAGGTCTAGGTGGGAGGCTTCGGGGCTGTGAGACCAAGTGAGTAACAGAGAAATCTGTACATTTTGCTTTTCTGATGCACAAATCAATGTGGACGTGTTGCCTCCTTTGCCCGGGAGGGTTGGAGGCGCAGAGAAAGAGAGTTCTCTCATTGGTGGGGGCAGCTGGAGAATTGCAGACCATGGTGGGTGGGGGTCCTGTGAAGTCGCCTCTCACCCCTATAAAAGTGCAACTGAGGGGCAAACAGAGCAAGCGACTTGACAGAGGTTAAGCAGACAGTTGAGTCCTGGAGTCTCCGGTGTTTACCTGTATCTCTCATGCTGTGTAAATAATACCAACATAACTAGCTAAAAAGTGAAATTGTAGACACACCAGCTCCTTGACGTGATGTGCCAGAAAAGTTATTTTTAACCAAATCAAATGTTTTCAAAAAACGAACAGATATAAATTCAACGAAACAAGCTTGCATGGGGACAGAGCTTGAAGGGCACTGAGTCTGGGCATCTCATCAGCCACCGGCTCCTTTGTGAGCTTCTGCTTGGTGTTCCCGCAATGCAGCGTTGGGCCCCTCTCTGTGCTGAGCAACTCTGCTCCGGATGGAGCAGTGCCCTCCCCCTCGCGTGTTCATTTCTCTTACTCATTCAACCCTGCCTCGTGCAGCTGGGTGAGTAACCCATGTATTCGAGGCGGCCTGAAGTCTCAGGGATTGCAGCTACACACTCCATCCTTGCTAGTGTGTGCTAGGCCCCGCTGCTGACAGGATGACTCCTGTGTCTGCGTGTGTTTCCTTGTGCACACCTGTTTGGCGGCTCCTTCTTCCAGGTGTTGCGATAGAGCGCACCGCCGTTTGTACAGTATTTTCCTTGTGATCACTGTTCTCAGTGCTAAATTCAGCCAAATCCGGGAGTGACCGCCCCATCGGTCATGAGCGTAGGAGGTGGGGACACAAGCATAGGCTTTCTAGGTACTCAAGGTAGCTAAATATGGTAGCGGAACCTCACCAATGTTTCAGCAAGTCCGTTCATTGTGTCAACTGAGGAAAACAGGCCAAGCCGATTCTGCCTAGAACATGCAGCCAAGATAGACATGGCTGCGGGGGTGAGAGGTATGGACCTGGGTGCTTTGAAATCATTGAGGACTCCTCTCCTCTGCTCCTCCTCCATTCGCGGTGCTGTCCCCAAGCATACAAAAGTCTGATGCTGGAGTCACGCGCTGCCATTTAGAGAGAATCACCTGCTAATAAATTAAAGTGAGGAAAACTGCAAGATAATTAGTCCCGGCGTCCGCACACTCCTGGGAAGCCTTTTTCCCAATTGTTCTACGGGTAACCTCATTTCTGCCCTCTGTGGCTCTGCCATTATTGCCTCTTGCTCACTTGCCTACATTCTTTGAGTCAAGCAGTGCCACCTGTTTACTTACGCTTATCACCAGTGTCCCTGAAAGGAGAATTTTGCTTCCCGAGGTACATGACTTCTGGAAGGCTGGTGGGGCGTTCTCTTTTACATCACCATTGCTTCTGGAAGCAGCCTTTGCATTTGGAACTGGCTTCCATGACTAGTAGAACTCAGACGCCCAGGGCTTTAGATTCCTCTTAGGGAGCATTTGAATGAGCTGGCTGCTCCCAGGACCGAACACAAAAGCCACCAAGAGCCCACCTTTGCCCGCGGAGTGCTTGCTTGTGTGAATGGGCCGAGCAGCAGACGTGCCATGAAGACGTGGACGGCGCTCCAGATAAGGGGCCGCGTGAAGACGACCCCAAGTGGCGGAAGTGCCCACGCGGCGGCCCTGCCTGTGTGTTCTCATTTCTTGTTTCTATTCCCTCTCTCCTAGGATGCGCCAACGTAAGCTAAGGTCCACGTAACTGCAAGGGCTCTTTACCACCGTAAGTGCCACTCTGACCCCCAACTCGAGACTCGCAGCAAAATGGATGCCACCGTGACAGACGATTTCCAACAGATCCTGCCCATCGAACAGCTGCGCTCCACGCATGCCAGCAACGACTACGTGGACCGGCCCCCGGCGCCCTGCAAGCAGGCCCTGTCCAGCCCTTCCCTGAGTGTGCAGACCCACAAGTCCGACTGGTCCCTGGCCGCCGCGCCCGCCGCCCTGCCCCGCAGTCTCAGCCAGTGCCACCAGCTGCAGCCCTTGCCCCAGCACCTGAGCCAGTCCAGCCTCGCCAGCTCCGTGTCCCACAGCACCACTGCCTCCGACCAGCGCCTCCTGGCCGGCATCACGCCCTCGCCGTCGGGCCAATCCATCGTCCGAACCCAGCCCGGGGCCGCGGTGCCCCGAAGGTCGCGGGTGCCCTCAAAGGGGAGGCCGAGCGCGCCGCGCTGCGCCCGGCCGAGCACGTCTTCATCTGCGAGCAGTGCGGCCGCTGCAAGTGCGTGCTGTGCGCGGCAGCGCGGCCGCTGCCCTCCTGCTGGCTGTGCGAGCAGCGCTGCCTCTGCTCGGCCGAGAGCCTGCTCGACTACGGCACGTGCCTGTGCTGTGTCAAGGGCCTGTTCTACCACTGCTCCAGCGACGACGAGGACAACTGCGCCGACGAGCCCTGCTCCTGCGGGCCGGGCTCCTGCGCCGTGCGCTGGGCGGCCATGAGCCTGCTGTCCCTGCTCCTGCCCTGCCTGTGCTGCTACCTACCCACGCGCGGGTGCCTCCACCTGTGCCAGCGGGGCTGCGACCGCCTCCGGCGCCCCGGCTGCCGCTGCGAGGGCCACACCAACACGGTGTGCAGGAAGCTGTCCCCGGGCGCCGCCCCCTTCCCCAAGCCGCAGGACAAGGCCGTGTGACCCGCCGAGGGCACCGAGCCCCTCGCCCGCCCTTCGAGGCGCTGGCCGGGCTCCGAGGCTGAGGCGTCGAGCCGCTCGAGCCGAGTCCTCGCCGGATCGTTGGCGCCGCACCGGGGCCAAGGCCACGCTCATCCTGGCGCAGCCGCCTCGCTCTGCCCGTACCCCGCCCCACCCCTGCGCCCCTCGCCCCTCGCCGCCGCCCGCCAGCCCGTGCGGCCCTCGGGCCGTTTCAGGTGACGCCAGGCCCGAGACTGGACGCTGAGGACCGACGGGGCCGGCAACGCGGAGGTGCAGGGCTCTCCGGCGACGAGCCTCCCGCTGCGGGCCCTGCGCGTCCCTCTGCTCCCACCGGCCTGCGCAAGCTCTCCCCGCAGACGCTGCCACGGGCCGCGGAATGGCGTCCGCTCTCCCAGGGATCCCGACCCCCCCCCCCCAACCCCGGTTGCCGGCCCTTCCGCCCCCGCCCTCTCCTGTCCTGTCTTGCCCTCTGCTGTGCGCCTCCCCTTCGTGCCCCCACTTCCACGTTCCCTGTTGTCTTCCTCCCCCTCTCTCAGCCAACTTCTTTTTCTGCCTGTGTTCCTGTCTTGCCTGATCTATCTTGGTGTCTCTCTTCCTGTTGCTCTTTCTCGAACATGTCCGAAAGTGCTGTTTTCCCATAGGTGTTTCCTTCGACACCAAACTTCGCTATGCTATAATAGTTACTGATCTTTACGAAGGGAAATGGATGACCGTCCGGAACTGGTCACTAGCAATAGTCCATGCCTTGCCATGTGTGTGCACACTTACCTGTGTGTGAGTCTCGGAGGCCAAGTGAGCTTACATTTCCAGGTTTAGTTAGTTGGCGGTTTACTCCCTTTCCCAGTAACCAGTGTGTAGTATTGGCAGATCCACTAGCATGCTGGGTAAGCAGTGAGTCAGGACGCCCATTACTTGTATGTCTGACCCAAGTGCCAAAGGCAGACGTGCTTTATAGCTACATGACCACAGTGGAGGACATCGCAAAGGTCTGTCCCCTCTACGAGCTGACTGTCCTGAGACTGCATGGCTCAGGTCTTAACAATAGACATAAAAAGTCATTAAACTTTAGAGCTGGAAGGAATCTTAACTGTTAATCTGGTTCAATGCCCTTATTTTAGAGATGGGAAAACTGAGGCCTGGAGATGATAGGAAGGGGCTTGCCCAAGGCCACACACACATGGAGTTAATGGCAGAGTTGGAACTGGAATGCAGTTCCTACTTCACTATTCTTTATCCTGCACCACACAAAGTCATGGGACTTGTCTCCTGGGACTCTGTTGACAGCGACAGAGAGCTATTCCAGCTCAGTTACTGTTCAGGAACCAGGCTGAGTCAGCACGGGGTGGGGTGTGGGGGGGGGGGCTTCTGCAGTGCATGCAGGTCGTGGATTAACTTTTAACTATCAAATGTTAAAGTTGTCCCCACCCTCCACCCCCAAGGACATCCCCTTTGGCTCTGTCACCTTGTAGAAGCTCAAGTGTGGAAAAGACGAGCTTAAGGAAGCCCCAAGCAAACTGCGTCTTCGCCATTGCACCTGCCCTGGCTGCTCACGCAGCGCTCAGCTCACGTCTGGCTTGGTCTGCAGCCGCAGTTGCCTGAGAACTCAGATTTCAGCCACAGTGGAAAACTGAGACGAAAGTTGTGTGACGCGGGTCCCAGACCTCTTCTTAGGAACACGGAGAGTCTATGTCGAATCCCCCTCAGTGGGAAAAGGCTGCAGTGCTGATGGCAGGCTTCTCAAGAGACCGGAATTAGATAGCGTCCCTTCGTAAGCAATTTGAAATTGAAGTGCTCCCACTCAGTTGAAGACTTCCAGCCTCTGAGTTCATTCATCATCTCTTAGAGTGTGCGCTGCAGGCGGAGGGGCGGGGAGAGGCGTGTGGTCCCGCCCCGGGAAGGTGGGAGCGCGGGCGCCTGTTGGTGGGTCCCACAGAAACATGCGCCACCCAGTCGCTGCTGCTTCTGAATCTTCCTGAGCGTCCTGACTTTTGGCTGCACACGGCCCCACACCTTCACTTTCACCTCCTCTTCCAGAATTGCTTTGCTCTATTTTTGTATATATAAATATGTTATGATGATTATTAATAATGTTAATGATATTGCTGCAAATGGTGCCATATATAAGGTTTGGCTTCTTGGAACACTTATAAACCGAAACCAATACCTGTAACCTCTTTTGTGGCTTACAGATCCTTCCATTTTGAGTAATTTTTTGTTTTATCTGACAACTCTGCCTGATGGAACTTTGAACTTACCAACCCTGAAAGCGAGGCCCAGTTCTCTGGGTCAAGCTGGATGTTGAAGAGTAGCTGCACAGACTTCTCCCTGCTTCTGCTTGAAATTCACTTAGAGCTGAGATACATAAGGATTCTATGGCACTAGTGCATTGTTCCCGGACCTAAAGTTATTCTCTGGATGTTTGCTGGTTTGTTTGGGGGCCTAATATAACACAAGTCCCTCTTTGTTGCTAGCTCCTTGATGTCATAACCCTGCAGTCCTTACTCAGGCAAATCGTACACTGTTGGGGGCCCTGGGCTCTGCCATACACCCAGAGGAGCGCTCCTCAGTGTATTTCTGAATGGCCTTACACTTGGTGAAAGAAACTGAAGGGTTACTCAAGTGCAGTTGCAATCCGCAATCTGCTGTTGAGTCAGGGCTCGCACTTGTGTCCAAGTTGGCCTGAGACGGACTGCGTCTGGTTACGCGTAGATGGGTCCTGTTGGGGCGTGTGCACAGACGTGCCAGTGAATGTGCATATGTCCCCTTCTGTGAGAAAGATATGTGTGTATACATACATCTATATGTATATATACATATACGTATGTAAATATATATTCACACATCTCTATATATTTTAATGTATTGCACATGTATATTTAAAATATATACGAAAGAACTATAAACCCTGCAGAGAGGCTCTGTTTTCATTATTTTTCTACTTTGTGTCATGTACTGTATAAACAGGAATGTTTAGAGGGTGTTTCCTGCTTAGCATTTTCTGGCAGTTAAGTCATCGCTCACCCCCTAACGCTGCTGCTTTCCACATATTGGTCTCTTGATACATTTCATAGGCTTCAGCCAAGAGTTTTCCTTTGGTTCCAGCCCATCTTCCCTCATCCTTCTCGCTAGAGTGAATATGCTGGAGCTTCCATGGCACTATCGGATGTGCTAGTGACTACTTTAGGCACATCACCTATTAGCTCACTTAATCTTACATGTGCCTACATCTAAGACGCAGGTACTGTTACAGTTGCCACTTAAGGGATGCGCAAGCTGAAGCACAGGAAAGTGAAGTGACTTTCCACAGGTAACAGAACATGTGATTGGGGGCGCTAAAAATGGCACCTAGTTTGCCTGACGGCCAGTCCGTGCTCCAGAACCAGACACAGCAGTCTTTAGCATCATGTAAGCGCCTCTGGAGGAACGAGCCTCAAGTGCTGAGTAACGCTTCCGCTGACCAGAGTAGTTGGAGGCCCGAGTTGGAGCAGTGTGCGCCTGCGCTGTGAGTGGCCCTGCCGCCGAGACGTCCTCCGTTGCCCCTTCCCGGGCTGGTGGGCTTCGCTGCCACTCCCTCGCGCACACACTCACTGGCCAGGTCCCGTTTCTCAGAGCGCACACGGGGTCGAGCTGGTAGGGAAGTGTTTCCACTCGTGCCGGAGCATGAGAGTTTATTTGGGTTTGTCTTTATAGGTCCAGGAAATCTGATTCCATTTCTTTCTGCAGCAAGTGGAACTCCAGCTATCTGGGGAATGAGATCGGTGGGAGCCGTCACATTTCAGCTCCTTGAGCACATCCTCCTGATCCAAATGCTCACCTCTGTGGTCAGTGTAGCGCCTCGCCTTCCCCATCACCTCCTTGGGGAAGATCTACCCCATTAGCAACTTTTCACACTTAGAGACAAAGACGCACAGGCAGGGAAAAGCCTGTCTAGAAGCCACAGGGTTCTGAGTTTGGTCAGAATTATGGCTTAATTCCAGATTTCCCAATTTCCAGAGGTCTTGGTCTGAGTTTCTTGGGAACTAGAACTTGGAGCAAAGGCTACTGTGCAATCCTAGGGAAGGAAGGGTAAGGAGGAAGAGTAGTGAAGGAAAGGAAACGAACAAAGAAGGGTGTCGCTGTTTGGGCCACAACCTGTTTCACGACGAGCCGATTTTCCACTGTGTTATGACAGGCCAAGCCACGGTCTCCATACAGCCCATTTGGGGGAGAAAGTGAAAAAAGTTCATCACTTGTCTCCCAGCTCATTCGTCAGATACCCTCCGTGTGGGATGTTAACCACCCCTCACTTGTGGATAGCGCACATGTGGCAGTCCAAGCATGTGTCTGGGCACCTTCTACCCCCGCGACGGTGGGGCAGCAAGTGTGTGGAGATGGGGAGATGCAAGAGCTTAGCATGTGCTAGACCTGTGCTTTCCTCATGTCTTTACCCACATTCACTCAAAGCCACTGGTCACCCACTGGCCTTAAAGTAAGCCTCACCACGGTATGCAGAAATGTCCTAGGTTTGCCTTCCCCCCTGTCTTCTCTGATGTGCTTTGAAGGGCTTCTTTCTACATGGACAAGAAGTCCCTGGTTCAGCTAGAGGGAAAACAAAGCCTCAAAATATTCTTCTTCTTTGTATAAGAAGAAACTTTATCTTACTGCATGTGTGAGCGCTGCGTGCACGCGAATGCACACGTGTTCATTCAGGCCCCATCAGCGTAACAGCGGGAAGACTGGTCAGGTTAGTACATTCAGGGGAAACAGCCAAATAAGTTACTTTGCACCATGAAAATAAAACATTTTGTTCATTGGCTGGACTTTTTCTATTTCAGCCACTAACTATGGTGGCATTATAATGACACATTCTAAAAGCTACTCTATTTTTTAGCCTCTTACATAGCAGTTTCCTGTGCCCTAGGGGTCATTCTTACGTGAACTCAAAGCATCTAGTTGTACATCCCACCAACATGCTTTCATGTCTACGAGCAGGATCATAAAAT